CAACTCAAACTAAATAGTTACAACTCTTTAAAAAATAAAAACTAATGGGCCCAAGGCCCAACAACTTCTTAATTTAAAAGAAAATAAACTAAACACAAATCGGCCCACTCAACACTCTTAATGAACCCAATATTTACACTAAATGGTCATTGGGTCTAACCACTTTATGAAGGCCCAAGGACTGCAGGCAGATGCAAGATTAGTCCATCAAGTATAACCCTCAAAGGTCTTACACTTAACCTCTCAGTCCATAATGATCAAACACTGCCCGACAAGAGAGGACCTCTCCCTCGGCTGCAAGGTACAATGTTGCACTCTACTCACATGGATCCCAGGAATTAAAACATTTTGCAAACATTTTGTGAAACCATAATATATATGTATATCTCTATATAAATATATTTTGCAAAACAAATCTCAACAATTTGAAATCAATTGCCGGTAGTTTAGGTTTCCATTAGAGAGAGTGCATTCCTCGATCATTCACTTTGTCTGACAAAGGGGTTGATCCTGTCACTAGGATCACCCACTTAGGTGAATTCTCAGACTGTCCCAACATACCCAGGTTTTGACCCCCGCTAAGGATTTCATTGATTGGCATATCAAAGGCAACCCAATCCGACACCTAGTGCAGTACCATAATCGAGTCTAGGGGTCAGGTGTAACATTCCAGTTTTGCCCATCTGTCTCTAAGATCCAAGGCAATACTAGAATTTGGTCCGGTTCAAGGTTTCAAGAAACCTACACTACATGTACCTCAAGTCTCACCCTAGCAGTTGAGACAAACCACCCACTTGGCGGCACATCAATGTCAGCCTTGGCAGGATAAATCTCCCCAAATCTATCCAACGGCTGTGAAGATTCTAAACTAACACGAATCTCGTAAATGTCCAGTTTAAGGGTATTACACAGAAACACACCAATATAACATGAATCAAATATGTACTTTATTCATTTCAATAAATGTCATAATGTACATCAAGCTGAATGGAGCTAAGGGCATACACTGTCTAACACGTTACCCTGTTTTTTTTTATGAATGTCCATGTTACCCTGTTATGCTGCAAAGCCCACATTCCGTTATTTACTCTGAGTCTCATCACACATATCGATGAGATTTTAGTTCTTTACCCTTAAATATATATTCATTGTCTTACAGTTGGAAGCCAAATTGCTTTGTAATCTTAACCATTGCAGCAAGGCCATTAGTTCAGCTTCCATCGAGCCTCCAACTCCAATAGGTCCTGAATACAATGCCACCACCCTGCCTACTAAGTCTCTAAAGGCACCCCCTAATCCCCTATTCCTGCCAGCCCAAAATTGCCCACGGAGCTCCTATCATAGTTCAGTTTTAACATGTTACTTTCTGGGGATTTCCACTCCATGATTACCTTGTCTTTTTTCTTTAGAAGATTGTGCCACCTCCACCCAAGTTCTTATTATATCATTCACTGAAGACTGTGCCAACTCCCTTTCTTCTTTGATTTCCTTAAGAAATTTGGATTGAAGATACCACATAAAAAATACCCAAACTTCACTACTTGATGGCAAAGAAAAGAAGCAATTGGTGTAGAATGATTTGTTAAGAATGGGCATACAAGAAAATTGCTTGTATATCGGTCTTGTATATGAATTACATGATGTAACTGTGAACCTTATTTCAAAAGTAATGATTTTTGTTTTTCTCAGTTGTTACACTTTTTCTTGTTCCTAACACAAATAATTCATTACTTACCACAGAGGAATTACGGTAGCATCTGATTTATTTCATGAATAAAGCACCAAATGATGCATTTTCTGGTTAAAAGGCCAACATTATATTCTCAACCAAAAAAGATCATCACATACAGGCACTTCAAAATGGACATTGTAACTGTGTCAGACATGTGAACACCAATACTGACAGGATAATCAAAGGAACTCTTCTTAATGTGTGAGTAAATAACCTTGAACTCTAAAGATAAATTTTTTACATGATTAGTGTATCTGAAATACTAAATAGTATATCTTAGTGTTGTCTGCCTTGATTTATGCATCTACATTTAAATCATTTTCTTTCCCAAAAACTATTTCCTGTTATCATTACATTTATTTCATTATTTACAGAACATAAAAAAATGTATTATTAAATAATAGAACTTAAAACTAAAGTATAGCATACAAGTCCCTGAATACTATTTTCTTGGATTTCTGAGTCCAACACCTCGTACTCATGTCAGATTCCAGCATTCACACCAGTTTCCATGTAACATGGTTAAAAGATAAAGCATAGGTATCGTATGGTTTTGATGGTGGAAGTCTACCCCAAAATGTGTATGTGTGTGTGAGGAGAGAGAGAGAGAGAGAGAGAGAGAACAAACACAAATTCTCAATAAATGGAAGTCCAAAGCTTACACAATCTCACCACTTTCATGGGTCCATAATTCTGAGGAACTGAAAGCATGAGCTCCTCATTCCAAATAGGATTCAAGTTGCTATGTACCACTTGTGTCTGGACCCTCTGCTGAAAACACCAATACCAGTGTGTGTATTAACAAGAGAACCATGACCCTCCAAGAATGAAGAAATAACTCTGCAGTACACTAGTGACATATAGTAGATATGGACTTATTATTTGGCACCACCCCCAATCAGATAACACTAAACATCAGATCTAGTGCATTCCTTGGAACATACAGAAAAAAAAAAAAAAAATGTAGTCCATCAAAGTCAACAGAACACAACACATAAAACATCATAGACCATCCTTGGATTTAACACAGAAGATGATGAAAGAGAATTAAAAACTAACCTGCTTCCCAACATTCAGGACAACATAAGGATCACTAGACAGCATATCTCTAATAGCTAAATTTGTGCCTTTTACAACTTTGACCTTGAGTAACCCAATGAATTCCACCATGCCTTCCTGTTATCAGTTTCAAAAATAGATGAGTTAAAAAGCATTTGACATTAAAACATAATAGCTATTATAGTTTTCTAGTCAACTAATCTATAGAACAAGTAGAGAACAAGTCTAAATGAGCCAGAATATTCCACATGCCATGATGGTTGGCTCCCTAAAGAATCTCACTTATTCCTCTCACCAGTCATCACTATTCACATATCAAGTTCCAGCAAAATAATCTTTATCCTAAGAAACTTTTGGAATTAAAAATAAAAGATAAATATTTCTACAGCCAATATCACTAAGGGAATGGTGGAGTATAGCCTGGCAAATGACCAGATGGTTGATCCAATGGATACTCTCTTTAATTGCCAATATTTACCGTTTTGGTTGATGAGTTTGAACTTCTGAAATTATCCATAATCTTTCTAGAAGAACTAGATTGGAGAGAGCCCCTTGCAGGAAATGAGACAATCCGCAAACTTGGTTTCAAAAATTCTTGAAGCTCATACTTGGCCCTACAAGGCAAAATTGAGAAAAATTACATTAGAAGTCATTGAAAAAGAAAAATCTCTTCACTAGTTAAATTACACAATTGTGCATTGACCCACACTGTCAAACTGGCAAAACACCTCTACTTGCACCAAAAACATTATTTTTTTATGTGATGTACAAAAAAAAGAATATTACCAATTCGTACCAACAAAAACATCCAAAAGAAAAGGGTTTATGCCTATTGGTAAAATGTCCACTCAACTACCAGTTTACCATCAGCATGGTCTGGATCAACATGGGAGGAGATGGACAGAGACAAGAATCAAGAATACACAAATCAACTCAATTTTATTCAGCCTTAATCCCAACCATTTGGGGAGAAAAACATCAAATATATGAATTTTCTATATTTATTATCATAATAGGATGTGAAGTCAAGATGTCCATAGCATGAAACCTTTTCCAACTTAATTTGTTTAGTGAAAAAGGGAAAAAAAACATCAAAGACTATAATGGGACTATGAATATGCATGTAAACAGGTGCCATAAATCACCTACCTGATGAACTTCATTCGCTCCTCATGACATGAATCCGGCCTGGGTTTCGAAAATCCTTCGGGAATAAAAGCTTCATAGATTTCATTAGCAGCAGAATTTCCACCGACCTCAACCATAGCATCAATTTCTTCTTCAGACCATTCATCTAGTGTCACGGATAAAACCTGAATGACAGTGAAAAAGAATAATAAGCATTCACAATTATATAGTTGACAACATTATAGGGAAAATTTCCATGCATACAGACATATATCAATGTACCTCCAAATTCTAAATTTTAATTTTCCATGACATTTAATAATTAAAATACCATTGTGATTTTGCAGAGGTGATATCAAGCACTTAGGTCTTTGATAACCAGATACCTGTACAAAGGTTTCGTATCATGTCAGATACTTCAATTTTTAGTGTAAGTTCCATATCTGACACTGTATCCAGTTGTGTCTTGACACATCCAGGTAACACAGATTGTAATTTGTGCATTTAGGCTTACCATTGGGAGGAAATCCAAGTCAGAAAGTTTCTGGTACCCAGTTTTGGAAAGATTTTTTTTTTTTTACTTTTTTGATCAGCACCAAGAAAGCAAGTTATTAAATTAAAAGGAAAAAGCAGATACATCTTTTTGGATAGCCTCAGCTACCCCATTAAGTTTAATTAAAAACTAACAAAAACAAAAACACTATGAACTTTAATCATTACAACTGAGCCTAAAAGCAATGTGGCCTGTTAACCCCTTGCTTTGCTAGCAGATCTTCCAAGCTATTAGCTGACCTTGGAACCCACTGGATGGACAGCTGCATATTTCTTGACAGTCTTCTAAACTTTTTTATCTCATTCTTTAAGTACCATGGAGCCTTTTCAATCTGTTCAGCCAACTTAAGACTACTTTTGAATCTCCTTCAATTGTTAACTTTCTCACTCCTAGTTCCGGAGCTTTTTGCACCCAAAACACTACTGCACTCAGTTCAGATGTTGTGAAATCCCCAAAGCCAAGAAGACCTTAATATAATCCCTATATTCATTTCTAATCACCACTCCTATACCAGAGGGACCCAGATTGCCAAAGCTGCTTCCATCAAAGCTTAATTTAAAGAAGCCATTCTCAGGTGGATCCCAAGACTTGAGTTTGGTTCTTTGAAGAAGATAAATCTGCAAATTTTCTGATAACATCATAGATGTGATTCAGACCAATAAAAAAAGGTAACATAATTTAGATTATAGCAAAAGAAGTAGAGAAGAAGAAGAAGATAGCAAGAAGAAGATGAAAGAATGGAGAAAAAGAGAGAAAGAAAGAGGAGTTTGATAATCTCCTCTTTTCCCACACAAATCTTTTATTAATCTTACTTAAGTTACATAGTTTACAAGTTTTCCCTTAAGTGGGCATCCACCTCATCAGCATACTTAGAAAACATAAACTAGAGTTAAAGGCCCATTAAGAACAAATAACAAGAAAGAAGTAATAAATAAGACACAAATGGGATAGAGCCCAGTCGGCCCAGTCTCTCTACACTCCCCCTCAAGCTGAGCATAGATATCAATCATGCCCAGCTTGCTTATATAGTGAACCAACTTTCCTTTAGGAACACCTTTTGTCAAAACATCATCCAACTGTTCTTTAGAAGCAACAAATGGTAGACAAACTTCTCCTGAAGCAACTCTCTCTCGTATTAAGTGCCTGTCAACTTCTATGTGCGTAGTTCTGTCATGTTGAGCAGGATTATGTGCAATGTTGATAGTGGCCTGGTTGTCACAATATAACATCGTTGGCTTCTCACATTCTAAACCCAGTTCTTCTAAAAGTAATCTCAACCATAAAAGTTTTGAAACTCCATGTTCCATTGCCCTGTACTCTGCTTCAGCTAAGGATTTAGCCACTACAGACTGCTTCTTACTCCTCCATAATACAATGTTCCCTGCTACCATAGCACGATAACCTGAAGTTGACCTCTTATCATCAATACATCCAGCCCATCCAGCATTGATGTATGCTCCCAACTTCATGTGTCCATGCTTAGCAAATAAGATACCTTTCCCTGGAGTCCCTTTTAAATATCACAGAACCCACTCAGCCGCTACTAAATGTGTATCTCTGGGAGAATGCATGAACTGGCTAATTACACTAACTGCATAGGAAATATCTGGTCGAGTCATGCAAAGGTATAATAATTTCCCAACCAATCTCTAGAACACTCCCCTATCAGTCAATAGTTCACCATTAGTAGCTGATAGCTTATGATTTAAGTCTATAGGAGTAGAAGTTGGTCGAGAAAAACCCCAAGGCAATGAACAGCCTCTTTCAAGTGCATGTTCATCCTATGCATGAATGATGATTCTTATATATCTATCAAGAATCTAATCATTCATGCATGCATTAGATCAAACAATTCAAGGGCATCAATTCAGATTGAATTGATCACCAACTGAATTGTGCAAGTTATCTCTAACCTTGCATTCAATTTAGTTCTTGAGTAGCAGATCCGAATTTCTAGAATCTCTCTCAAGCACTCTAGAATTTCCAAGAGGTTAGAACAGATCGGCCAAGCTGAATAATGAATGTCTGAATTGCTTGAGAATTCAGACATTACAAATCTCAAATCTGATTCAGATCTGAGATTTGTAAGAGAACAATTCGACCCATCAGTTCTACAATCAATTCTCTTAATCAAGAAACATCAAAACTGGACCTAATCCATTCGAATGATTCAAGAAAACTTAATTACATAATCTGAATTTACAACATTCAATCTCCATTACAGCAAGAAAGAAAGAAAGAAAGGAAGAGAAACTACATGATCTAAAGCTGAATTCGAATTCAAAGAAAACAAAAACTGAGTAAGAATGTAACCTAGATCTCTCAGTCAAGCTTCCCCTCCTTCGAACTCACCTTCTTCTCTCTTGGATACTTGGATCTCCTCAGCTCCTTTTTCTCCTCTTCTTGAATTTCGAACCCAAGGGACTAGAGAGTCTTGAACTTATGCAATTGAACACCTTCCCCCTTCAAGAGACCTCCTTAAATAGGCTTTCAAGGAGTCTAGAGGCCTCTCTTGAAGCTTCTAGAATTGGTTGCCCTTCTCTCCTCTTGAAACTTCTAGAGTGCTGCTCCCCTTTCTTCTCTTGAAGCCTCTAGAAGTTGTCGCCCCTAGCTCCCTTTGGGCTGCACTTTGGGCTGCAACTTAGCGGAATTTTGAGCTGTTTTGGGCTGCAATCTAGGCTGCTCTTGAGCTGAAATGGGCCTCCTCTTTGCTGGGCCGAATTTAGCTTTCTTGCTAGGCTCTCTCTTTGGGTTCTCCCAAAGAGTGTAACATGGGCTACATGGGCCGAGTGATCCTCTATTGCTCTCTTGGCTGGGCTGGGCTAAATTAATTTAATTTTGGCTCTTTTTTTTCTTGTTTCATGCCTTCTTTTTCTTGAAATGGTTTCCCTGAAATATTTCCTGAAATTAAACTAAAAATGGGGTGAAACTCAAACAAACCATCATAAAATCATGCATAAAACTTCATAAATTGTAGGTAAACCATGTACTCATCAAATACCCCCACACTTAAGCTTTTGCTTGTCCTCAAGTAAAGACATCAGCCATAAACTGATCATCCCCCCCTTGATTGTAGAACTGATGGGCCGAATTGTTCTCTTACAAATCCAGATCTGAAATTTCAGATCTGAGATTTGTAATGTCTGAATTGCTTGAGAAAGAATTCAGACATTCATTGTTCTGCTTGGCCGATCTGTTCTAACCTCTTGGAATTTCTAGAGTGCTTGAGAGAGACTCTAGAAATTCGGATCTACTACTCAAGAACTGAATTGAATGCAAGGCTAGAGATAACTTGCACAATTCAGTTGGTGATAAATTCAATTTGAATTGATGCCCTTGAATTGTTTGATCTAATGCATGCATGAATGATTAGATTCTTGATAGAGATATAAGAATCATCATTCATGCATAGGATGAACATGCACTTGAAAGAGGTTGTTCATTGCCTTGGGGTTTCACCAAACCAAGGTCGAATCATACTCTATTCGAATGATCTAAGAGGGCTGATTGTTGAATCATGAATTTGTAATTTTAACCTATTCTCTCAACTTGGATGCAAGGTGTTGAACCAATGCCTATTAGGTAGTTTGTAGTTTAGAATTTCATATTTGAATAAACTGTAGTATTTGGTTAATTAGATAAGAGCTGGCTGGTTTAGTATTAGTAGTTGCTACCTAAATCCTTGTGGGAACGATACTCTACTCATATCTTTATTACTTGAGAGGCTAGTGCACTTGCTAGTGTCACATTTGTAAGACAGTTTTGTATGCCCTTAGCTCCAATCAGTTTTGATGTACTTTTGACATTTAGTGTAAATGAATAAAGTGCATGATTGATTCATGTTGTGTGGTATGTTTCTGTGTAAGACCCTTAAACTGGACACTTAATGAGACTTGTGTTAGTTTAGAATGTTCACAGCCATTGGATAAGTCTGGGGAGATTTATCCTGCCAAGGCTGACAYTGGTGTGCTGCCAAATGTTGGGGTGCCCTGTCTCAGCCGCCAGG